ATATATAAGCATATAACCAAAGTTTCGCACGCCGCTTTACATATTTCCATATCTGTGCCACCACCAACACAAACGTACATGTGAGGTAATCGATAACAGCCAGACCCCCGTTCTCTCATGCCCGTGACGTCAGAGAGAGGGCGGCAGACAGGGGGAGGGTTGAGCGCCAGAGTATAAAGACTCCTGGCCGAGCTCTCCGGGATCCATTCTGAGTTTTGTACGACAGACCTATAACTGATGGAAGTACAGAGAAGCGCCGGGCACCAACAGACAAACGGCAGCACCATGTGTGAATCCACGCAGAGGTCCTGCGAGCCTCGCCGAAAGAAAATGGATGAGCGCAGTGCACCCTCAGAAATGGCCAGGATAATCACTGATCCTGCCACGGGGAAGTGCTACTGCCGTGGAAAAGTTTTGGGAAAGGTAGCGCAAGCATTCCATCGTTTTTTCTTTTCTTTAAAAACATTTTTCCCCCTTGGGATTTACCTAACCCGAAGACAAAACATGTTAACAGTGTTGTTCCTTTTTCCAGGGAGGATTTGCTAAATGTTATGAGATGACCGACCTCTCCACCAGCAAAGTTTACGCAGCCAAAATCATCCCTCATGCGCGCGTCTCCAAACCTCACCAACGGGAAAAGGTAAGCGCGCAACTCCGATCCTTGAGCGCAGTGATGTTCAACTTATATGTTTATATATATATATATATAGACATGTTTTGTCTTTCGTTTCGCTAGATTGACAGAGAAATTGAGCTGCACAGATTACTACACCATAAACACATCGTGCATTTTTATCACCATTTTGAGGACAAGGAGAACATCTACATCCTGCTGGAGTACTGCAGCAGGAAAGTAAGTGCTGTTTTTTCCACATGGTAAATTTGAAATGACTTTACTGCCGCCGTGTTTCTAATGTGAACAAGACCTGCATTGCACCCAAAATCCAGCGAGGCACTACTTGGTATTCAGAATGTGCCCCACTCTATAAAGAGCTTTACTGTTTTAATTAACTGTCGAAAGTAGAAAACTTTAATGTGTTACCACGGGGTTTGAAATTAAGGGAAGTAGTCAAGTGTGATAAGCTTTTCTGCACAGAGGACAGTGCTTATATCTTGGGAAAGCTCTATAATTATTCTCATCTCTATGCTTTGTTTTTTCCCCCGCAGTCATTAGCCCATATCCTGAAGGTCCGCAAAGTGCTTACTGAGCCAGAGGTGCGTTATTACCTGAGACAGATTGTGTCTGGACTGAAGTACCTGCATGAACAGGAAATCCTTCACAGAGACCTGAAACTTGGTTAGTGATATTACAGTGCTGTGCATAATCTTTCATTGTGTGCAGGGAGAACATCATTCCTTGTAACTAAACCTCAGTCTGTACCTCTACATTTGCTGTGCTCATGCTTTGATCCTGGCTTGAATATCAAGTGTTCATCATCTCATTCCCTTTCTTCCCGACAGGTAACTTTTTTGTGAACGAGACGATGGAGCTGAAGGTCGGGGACTTTGGTCTGGCTGCCAAGTTGGAGCCAGCGGGAAACAGGAGGAAGACGATCTGCGGGACTCCCAACTACCTGTCCCCTGAGGTTCTCAACAAGCAGGGCCACGGCTGTGAATCAGACATCTGGGCCTTGGGCTGTGTAATGTGAGTCGGATATCTATAAATTTAGCATTAGGGAACTTCAAAAGGTTTAGTAATGAATTATTAAGAAACTATCTATATTGGCATCAGGTGTCATGGACAGGCATATTCTTGTCTTACTTCTTTCACTTAGAAATATGTGATATATGTGATAAACTACCCATGCATCTCCTATGGCATAAATAGCTCCCTCACTCAATGCCCTCTATCCTCCTCCAGGTACACTATGCTGCTGGGCAGACCTCCTTTCGAAACCACCAACCTGAAGGAGACATACAGGTGTATTAGAGAAGCCCGCTACTCCCTCCCCTCGTCCCTGTCACCACAGGCTAAGCAGCTAATCGCCAGCCTGCTTGCCAAGATGCCAGAGGACAGGCCCAACCTGGACCACATTCTGAGGCATGACTTCTTCACACAGGTTAGACACAATTGCCAACTCTATGTCACTCTATGTTGAACACTGTAAATGTCACAGCGTAGGAGTTTAACAATTACACCCCCCACTTCCCACCAGATGACCCACTTTGGTTCTTCACAGGGCTTCAGTCCAGAACGTCTGCCTGCTAGCTGCTGCCATTCAGCACCAGATTTCCACATCTCTAGCCCTGCCAAGAGTTTCTTCAAGAAAGCTGCTGCTGCGCTGTTTGGTGGGAAGAGGGACAAGGTCAAGTACTACGAGACTCTGAGTGAGTATTGCAACAGCATTTAAGTTCTCAGTGTACTACTCGTCACACTAATAGTTTGTATTTGAGTCTGAATTTATGCTCGAAGCACGGGCATCATTACACCTAGCGTTAAACTGAGTGTGCATGACCCATTTTATCACCCTTAGGCTGGTCATGGAGGTCATCCTCTCATTTTTCTGCACTCCTTTTGTCCTTCATAGATAAGTTAACCAAAGAGGAAGAGGAGATCTACAAGTTGCAGCATGACTTGGAGAGAACTGCCATCAGCCAACAGCACAGCAAAAAGGTGTCTGAGGTAAGAACTGAAGACAGGATATTTGCAAGAGTGTGGGTGATGTTGCAGGTAGATTCATCATAACGGCAGTTAAATAGATCTGAGATATCACGTTGAGGAGAATCCAGTGAGTCATTCTGGAGCTGTGCCAAAACTTTATAACGAGCACATTTTTCCCGAAGTGCTAAAAGCACTTATTTTCAACCTTTAAGCCAACCTCTTTGCATCTGTGGGTGATCACTGAGTCATAGTAGGAAGGGATGATCTAAACTCACAGATTCTAAACCCTGTCGTCACTCATTCCCACCTCAGAATGGAAGTCTACTTCCGCCATCTGCCGAGAGCCCCGTTGCCCCGGCAACAGAGAGCCAGTCCCCGACGACGCAAGACACCATCCGTCTGATCGTCAGGGGGAGTCTGGGAAGCTGCAGCAGCAGTAGTGAATGTAAGTTCACCCACACGTTTAACAGAGCGCAGACAGACTGGAATTCTTTTTTGATGTATTATGGAAAAGAAATCAGTGTTACAGAGAGCTGCTGCCATAGCTAGAGTGTTTAGTACCATTGTCATGTCAAGCTGACTGAGCACCTGTTATTGCTCCAAAAGGCCTGGAAGACAGCACGACAGGGAGTGTGGCTGAGACTGTTGCAAGTGTGCTGAGGGGGTGTCTGGAGAATATGCCTAAAGGTGAGTGAACTAACAAAGCCTTGACCTCTACATGCATGCCTTAGCTGCAATTAATAGTGCACTTAAGCTCACTGTTTCATTATACCTTTAACTGTATTCTAACCCTCCTCCTCTTTCTGTTCACCCTGCAGCCAGTGACATTCCTCAGGGCTCAACCAGCTGCAGTCTTCAATGGGTGACTAAATGGGTGGATTACTCCAACAAGTACGGTTTTGGATACCAGTTATCTGATCACACCGTGGGAGTTCTCTTCAACAATGGCACTCACATGAGCCTCCTACCCGACCGAAAGTATGTATTCTTTCTCAACGCCCTCCCTTAAATTTAAAAGTTATTAGTCACAACATTAACTTGTCTAAGCATGCTGCGGTTATCGTGTCAAATCTTTCAAAAATGTCATCTAACCGAATCTGATCTTTTTTGTTTTATTTTGGGTTTCAGGACCATCCATTACTACGCAGAGCTAGGCCAGCGCTCTGTCTTTCCCACCTGTGAGGTTCCTGAACACTTTGTCGGGCAGGTCACTGTGCTTAAGTACTTCTCCCATTACATGGAGGAAAACCTCATGGATGTAAGTAAAAAAAATCGTTATTCCTCCACTCCTTTATCCATTTTTAAAAAAATTGTTATGTTGCTGTTATGTTCCTTTTGTATTTCCACACCCTGTAGCCTTAGAGACGTTGCAGCTTGTCTAAACCTGATGTGCTACTCTTTTGCTCTCTCAGGGCGGGGACCTTGGCACTATAACAGACTCACACATGCCCAGACTTTACCTGCTGCAGTGGCTCAAGTCAGACCGCGCCCTCATGATGCTGTTTAATGA